TAGAGGGGGTTGCACAGTGCTGCAGTGGTTAACGCTGTTGCACAAGGAGGTTCCTTGTTTGAATCCCCGTCTGACAGGAGCCTCTCTGTGTTTGCATGTTCTCCATGTGCTCGGTGGATTTCTCCCAACTACTCCGCTTCCTCCCAGTATATTATTTTATTAAATTAATATTCATAATGTTACGCATGATGCCTTTAATATATTATTGCTAATATGTTGCATTCCTTGATTGTCATGTACAACACCATTTTATTAGCATTCTTGCCTTTTTTTGCTTTCATAAACATCCAGGTCCTCATGGACTTCAAAAACTCATCATCCATGTGAGACATGAACCTGAACCGCTGAAAGGATCTAACCTGATTTTGAAAGATAGAAGTTCAGGAACGAACACACACTCTGACACTCTGACACACACACAAAGCTCCAGCAGACATTATTTAGGATAACCAACAGTTTAAGTCCCCATATCTCGTCTAGTTTCCCCAGACTGTGAACCTGACAGTAGAGGACGTAGACATGTTAGTACAATCCTGGACCCGACACTGGTCTCCCAATCTCATTTCAGCACAACGCGTTCAAAGACGTTTGGTGCTGAGATGTGTTTGGGTTTCCGTCAGGTCAGTTTATTAGAGGGGGTTTAATGACAGACAAAGAGGAGGCTAAGAAGAGAGAGAGAGGGGATCAGTAGCAAGAAAACAAGCTGTTAGGGCTTCATAATGCACATTTAGCAGGACTCGGGTCAGGGTTCATTTTCCAAAGTGCTTATTTAACTTTATCAGAAGTTTCCAGACGGCATTCCTGGAGCTTTGTCAGAGCAACTTACCTTTTGTTGTTCTCCAAGTCCCTCAACCAATGCCTCTTAAAATACTCCGAGCTAGACTTCAATCATATGACGTATGGGCAATAAAAACTGAACAAATCTGCTCTCAGAATGATCAAGTTTATTGCTTAAATACAGTTTAAATATGTTGAGCAGTTGATTAATGATGCAAGTATTTTTATTTATGAATGCTTTGAAGCTTGATGTGGATCACTTTTCTGTCACAGTTAGACTTCTTAAGGACCTCCATGAAACTCATACGTCCATAAACCAAAACCCCCATCTCTGTTTTGTGTGTCCAACTTTTTCATTTAGGAAAACTGTTCCTGAACGTATAACAGCTGCATCATCCAAGTGAATAGTGTAGCAGCGGTATCAGCACTGAATAAGAGTCTCCTTAGCTATCGTTGATATACTTACAAACACAGCTAATCAAGCTCCCCCTTTAGTTCTTGGTACGTTTAAAATGACCCTAAGCGAAGCAAGTGGTTCACAAAGAGCATAAAGGTAAACAGCTTGACTGAGTCCTTTGTCCTGTCTTATAAATCAGCGCTTTGATTTGTTTGAAGAGCTCCTAAATGACGTTTCAGTGCCGTTGTCTTTAAAGAGTAAGTGATCCACAGATTCTGCTTGTTTTAAGAGTCGTCTTCGTTCTAGGTGTCAGCGACCTCCAGCTGTGGCTTTTATGTACTGAGGAAATCCTGCTCTGGTAGGAGCAGAAACCACAGAACAGCTGGGATCCATAAAGCAGCCACATGTGATTAACTCACCTCAACAGGGGCCGAAACCTTTATATGTTTTTACTGCTGCAACATGTCCACCTGCTGGAAGTTATCTGTCATTACAGCATCAGAGAAGCTGCTGGTTCTTGGACTATTGTTTTAAATACTACTGATAGACTCTAGAGTAATACTATACAGATAAAGAAGCAGACGCTGTGGTGCTTTGTGAGCGTGTTTGTGTTGTGGTTGTACCTGGGCTCAGCTCCACCAGGTAAGGCAGTTTCTCAGGAGGCAGTGAGCTGCTGCTGCCGTCTCTCCGCAGACCCTTGTCCTCCATTTTCCTTGCCTTCCTCCCCTGGTAGTCGGGCGGTCTCTTCTTCAGCTGGAACACAAGGGCTCCTGACACAAAATAGACAAATATTTAAGTCTATTACATTGATTAAATCAAAATGATGCCTAGAATTTAAACTGTTGAGAATCTATCAACAGATTCTTGTACTATGGTCTTTAAAATAAAATAAAAAATGTATAATGTTTAGTTTATTGTGAGCTCCAGCTTACAACTCAACTCCTCTTCAAACAAAGGCATGACATGAACATGAAGTAGAAGGTAGTTGTAATGACTATACGGCAGCAGAAGGGGGCGGTAGCGACAAAGAAAAGAGAACAGAGAGCAACAGAGGCATGTTAATCTGTTGTGAAGTGTACCTCTGTCAGCTGGCCAGTCCCTGAAGATCTGCAGCGGACACTCAGAATCGTCCAGAATCACGTCTTTGCTCGATTTGTCATCTTGCTGCAGAATGGAAAAAAAAAAAAAAGATGAAACATTCTGTGAGTCAAAAAAAAACAAATCACAGTAATCACCGTTTACAGAGGTGCCCTCTTATTTTCATGTGATTGACAGATTTAATTTGAGATCCCAGGAGGATGTTAATGACAGTCACAGAAAGTTCAAGATCACAAATGTTCCTACATTGGACTATTAAATGTTCCACATGTTCAGAGGCTCCAACATCAGCATCCTGAAGTTTAAAGATTAAAGTCATTGTTAAAGTTCCCCTCTAGACTCCATTAACCCCCGACATGCAGACTGAAACTGAGATTTCACACTCTTGCACGAACACTGACGTCAATCAAATACAGAGTAAAACTCCTGCACACACTTCTCCTGGATTACTCAGAATAATCAGAAAAAATAATATATTTTAGGTATCGGTTATTTTCAGGAAATTCTTATTTATTCTGCCTTTCATTTCTAGTGTAAAGTGACCCTGCAAAGGAGCTGGTCTAAATCAACCAGTTTATGAGACCCTGGAGGTCATTTTATGTTGCCGTGGTAACCAAACAGGTATAGATATTGTTACATCTTTGCTCATCATATTGAAGTTAAAATTCTGGTATCGTGACAACTCCAGTCTGTTGTGGACCAAGATTCAGGATAAGCTTGCAACTTTGACTTGGGATTTATTTTTTGGCTTTTTCCACTTGATTTGAAAGGACGGCGGCTAGAGTAGGAAATCAGGAGACAGAGAGAGAGAGAGAGTGGGGAATGACATGCAGGAAAGGAGCCTCTGGTGGGAATTTAATCCAGGCTGTATGCTTGGAGGACTATAACCTGGTGCATTGTGCACAACCTAACCGCTAGGCCATCTGCACCTTGATAAGAGCACAACTTTAAAGCATGTAACTGGACTCGAGATAGGACCAATCGATAGGCTCAAAAGTCACAATTTTCAGGTTTTGAAAAAAATAAGGAACCTGGTCCTTAAGGATCCAGGTTTTGATTCCCAAACCCCAAGAACAGTTCCACTGGCTGACCTCTACTGGACAAACTCTGACTTAATTAGCATTTCCGCAGCGCCCTTCAAGGTGGTATTTTGGCTTCACTTGTGTCCAACAGGAGGGAGTGAAGATGTGTCGTCAATAGCTCTGACACTTCATGGACCATAAACATAAGAATACCCTATTTCATGGAGAGGATGTTTAAATATTTATTACAGATTGTTTGCTTGGAGAAAGCATCATATTTCCAGTTACCATCATGTACATTTTCTGAAATATTCATTACATTTTGATTGTTGAACTTCCTGTTTGTCATGAGGTGACGTGATGTGATCGTGAGTGAGAAAGAAAACAACGCTGTTCTTCCAAATGTTTACTTTTTTATTTCATAATGAGATTATCATGTCGTCTTGCTTCATCAATAATGAAGTTTAAATGGGTTTTTTTTTAGAAGAATGTAACAGTTGCCCCACATATTTTCATCCTGTTGGAGCTCATCTCGGTTAACGTCCCCTCCCCCCCCTGCACAGAAACATGCTAGCAGCTGGTAGACTGCTGCTTATTCCTCATGCTCACTAACCTAATGGACTTCCCCTGTGCTAAAGTCTCATCAGCAAATTGCTACTGACTATCAACTATGTGCGTGCGTGTGTGTGTGTGTGTGTGTGTGTGTGTGTGTGTGTGTGTGTGTGTGTGTGTGTGTGTGTGTGTGTGTGTAGTCTCTAGAGGGCCCTCCACTGTATAGGCTGCTGGAACAGGAGTTATTTCATATGATTGGCCATCGACACAGAGTCCATCAGAGAGGGAGAGGCTGTGGAGAGGGCAGCCAAGTTCACCGTAACAGTCACAGGCGTACACGAATATACACACATACCTTGAACACACACACACACACTCACAGACACACACACACTCACAGACACTCACAGACACACAGACACACACAGACACAGAGCATCTGCTGCTTCTCCAGCACTCAGTCAGAAAGCAATTGAATTGCAATCCTCCCAAAAGGTTTTACTGCCAAGAAGCATTCTGTTTCAATCTGCCAGTACAGTGAAGAGTGTGTTGCATTTTTATGTGTGTGTGTGTGTGTGTGTTTTATTGTTCACATGACCATGACCTTGGCTGTCCTCCTCACAGCCTCTCAGAAGAATGATGGAGGTGTGTATTGATGGGATAAGAAGACAGAGGTTTCTTTTGTGGCATGGAGAACAAAAAAGGTTGTAGGTGTTAGGAAGACGGCAGAAGCCAGAATACACCGGAAAAGTAAATCCCATCAAAATCAAATTATGCCGATTAAAGCATCGCAGTTCAATTTGAGTCTGATTAATATGACTCAGCATTATGTTCCACTGCAGCTGGAGGGGCTCATGAATCACCAAACAGCAGAAGTTAACACCAGGCTTTACTAAAACGTGTTCAACCTTACTGATTTAGGAGGAGGGGTGTGATTAATGGTGGAACAGGAAAGGTCGGGAGGTTTGTTTAGTGTTAAGCTTGGGATTACAAGATGAGGTCTTAAAAAAAAAAAAAAAAAAAGGGGGGGGGGGGGGGGGAGCAGAAAAGTCCTGGTTACCCGAGCGATGCAGTACTCTCTGGGGTTCTCCTTCTCCAGCCCGTACTTCTCCAGCGCCTCCACCACGGCAAGGTCAGCCGTGTCTCTGGTGGAGAGCAGGATGGTCTTATACGGGATGTTGGGCTTCAGGCTGTCGGCGTATATCCGCAAAGTGCCCCCTATAGGACAGAACACAAACATCTTTTTAAGTCATTAAGCCTTGATTAACACATCAGAGGGCAACAGGTCATTGTTTGCTCCAACGCTCAAAAACAGGAAAAAAAAGCCCTTTGAGTTTCCTGGTTGGTTGAAATACTCTTTTTACAGACGAGTGATTCAACTCAAATCACTAACAACTCACCTCTTCCACAAAGCCTATGAGTCTTTTAATACTTAGAAAAGCACTATAGTCTAATGCATTATTATTATTATTATTAATAATATATTTGTTGTGTCCATCAAACAGTCAAACGCCAACAGACTCTATGTCCTGTTAAGATGGAGAAAAGCAGGAAATACTGGAAAAATAAAATATTTTACATCGTTGCTTTATTATTTATCATTTATTTGAACCACCTACACAGTGTGAGCTTGTTAATGTAAAGCACTTTCTTTATCTGGGTTAGAAATGTGCTTTATATAAAGTTTATCCATATTATTATGAGGTGTGTGAGATGCATGATTACTCATGATGTGATACAACATGGCCTATAATTATGACAGGATCCTGTGTTAACTGATCAATTCCAAGATAATCGTAAACTGATACATCATGAACACTCATTAAATAAAGAATATTAAATGCAGAAGGGCAGAGTTCATGCATTTATGTTAATGGAATATAGTGTCAGCTTCACCGTTAAATCACACCTTGATGTCTTTTCACAGCTGTCCAACATGACCCTCGTCGTCTTTTGTGCAGCTTTCAACTTCTTATTTGGCTTATTAACTTCCGTTTGCGTCACACTAATCCATGTCATAAGCGCCACTGAGGAGTCATAGTGTGGTGACGCGCGAGTCAAATTGGCAGGAAATCTGTTCATAACAACGTCCTGTTTTTTTTCCAATGAAATATCTATATTTGGCACCAGTAGAGTCATTGTACCCTGAGTCACGACGATGGTGAATTTCTGTATTGATTTTTTGTTCTCCTATTAATTATTAAAGATCTGAAACTTATAATGCAGCTCTGTATAGATCCCAACATTTTCCTATACAGGCATACTGACTTTAACTTCCTACATGAGTGAAGATGACCTTTTGGGTCATTATCTGGAAATATTAAGGTCTAAATGAACTCGCTAAAAGTCATATCTCAAGCTGTAAGGGAGTAACCGTGCTCAGAGAACGTGTATCATTTAGCACGCTGTCACCCAGAGCAACACGTGGCTGTGCAACCGCCATGTGTCAACTAGAAATGATGACCTACACAAATCCCACAAGGGAGTCTTTAGCGAAAGCAAAACAGGATTTTCAGTAGCATTACATGAAATGAGTTTGGTTAAAATAGCCCTCTCTCTCCTGGGAAAACGTCACCGTCCAACCACGACCCGTCCTGTCCCAGCGGGTGTGTTTGTTTGAATGTGTGTGGACAGTGGTTTAAAGCTGTTTTTAGAGGCGGTTCACTGGTCCATCTGTCTGTCTGTGTCTGGCAGAGCGATTAGGTAATGCCTGAGTCACACTCTGAAACCAGCCGGCTTGTTTGTTTCAGTCACTCAACATGTCTTTCTGTGAGTGTAAACATGTCAGCGTGAGACTTTCCATCAACATATGGCGTTCTCTCCATCGCTGATATGCGTTATTACATTATTAAAAATAAATCTCAAATTCTTGGTTCTAAATGTATTCAGACCTTTATATGAGCAAGTCTGGCAGTGAGTCCAGCCACACAACACCTCCACCAGCTGTTTCCTCCAAACCCCACCTTGCAGATTTTCTCAGGCTCCGTCACACAGGATAAAGAGCCGCAGTGAACTGGGATTTTCAGGTCACTCTTGCAGATTTTCTTGCAGGTTCACGTCAGGTTTTCTTTAAGCCTCACACTTGTTCTGAGGCCGGTCCAGCTCTGTGTGTGGGCTGTGAGATTTGGGTCACTCATTCGCTCCCAAAAAAGGTGAATCTCTGCATGAAGTCCTGTTCACTCTGGGAGCAGGTTTTTTTTTCTCTTATTCTCACATTGTGTCTAATTCTTATACAGTAAGATATTTGCACTTCCGTCAACTTGCACATTCCTGCACAGCTCCTCCACTCCACCTTTTGTACTTATTATGTTTTCATAGCATGTTTTATTGGTTTGCATGTGGACTGTTGTTTGCTTTTATAAGGACGCTAAATTTATGAGGCAATTGATGTCCCAGACTAATCTCCCCCAGGGGTCAATAGAGTCTGTCGCATCATATCTCATCATTTTTACATTTTTCTTAACTTCATTGTTTTTGCAAAAAAACACAAATCCCTTATATGTGTAAACCTACTTTTAAAAGAACTCATCAAGGTCTTGATTGATCTCTAGAACAGGAGTTGTCTTTCCAGGTGTTGCATCCGGACAGACATCTTTTGTAAACGTGTTGGTGGTTCAAAACGTTCCCTACTTTATAATCAGTGTTGGGACTAATAAGTTACTGTAGCCCCATCACTATTTGTGGTAACTATTAACATATCCAGTTACTCTCCAGATTTAATAATACTACTACAATTACTGACATTTAAAGCATGTGTTGCTCATTACTTTTAGGCAATGTGACACAGCCGACAACAACACCAGATTAAGGTTTGTTGACATCGATTGGGGGGTCCAGGTATGCTAACTTGAGCGTGGCAGTATCTTAGGAGAAAGAACAGCGTGCAGTAAACTAATACAGGCTAAAGATCATTAGCTGTGAGCTTTCTGTCTCGGCAGTACCAACCTTTTTTTCCTCTGCTTGAGTTAAACGACAAGAACTTAGCAGTGAGCTGTTGTTTATGTGCAGGAAGGAAAACTTCTCTCACAAGAACGAAGCACCGAGCTAAACGACAACACGCTTCTAGAGAGCGCCGTGCTGCAGACACGGGAGACCCAGGACCAAGGAGGAGATTAATAAACAAGATGTGTCGGTCAGAAGTTCACTTCACGTACCCGAGTCTGGCCTCCCGTCGCTGCTCATGAACTCCTGCATCCGTTTCTCCAGTTTCTGCTGGCGTCTCCTCTTCATCACCACCTCTGGGTTTGAGATCGTCCGAGTGAAGCTGGTCTCAGGCATGTCCTTGTACACCTCCGCTGCTAGACGACTGTTTTCACTTAAAAAAACAAAATGAGAGAATGACGAATGACCGGGAGAAGACAGAACGCGTGAAAAACAATGAAATAACAAAAAGAAGACAGATGAAGGAACAGAAAGTTCAAAGTTGAAATCACTATTCTTTCCTCTTCTTGGCACCATAAAAGCCAAAGACCCTCTCCAAGGACTGAGAGGACGTATGGGCTGGACAGTAAGATGGATGACTGTGAGCGTGTGAGCGTGTGTTTGTGTTACCCGTCCTCTCGGGGGAGCGCCTGCTCGTCTCCGTCGGGGATCCGGGCGAACTCCTTCTCCCTCTTCTTCTCCTTCTTCTTCTCCTTCTTGGACAAAGTCCTCTTGAAGTTTTGGATCACTCCGTCCTTCTCCTTCTCCGGACCATTACTCTGACTCTTCTGGTAGAAAAGGGAAGAAGAGTGAGCGAGGTCCTTTGAGAGAATGTGAGGAGTCGCTCCATACAGTGTGTGATGTTGTTGTTGTGATTTAGGAATGAATCATCAGGAAAATTCTTCCTCAGTCACCTCAGTAGGGTTGATAAAGTGACACAGATGAAGGGTTATAATTCAGTTTTCAAACTTGTTTTTCAGTGGGACATTCAGTAAGTAGACTTAATATTTGAAACTGCAAATATTTAAAGGCTTTATATGTGATTTTTCACACTTAAATGTAGAAATCAAGTATATCCTCTGAAAATAACTCTGTGAGTCATGACTGTCTACAATGGGTGTAACACCCGAGTCCCACTGTCTGTGATGCTTTCAGAGTTTTCAGAGTCCTATCTTCAGTTTGTTTACATCGCCAGGACGGCCGGCTGACTCCTCCCCTCACGTGTAAAAGTTGTTTAATTGAGGGACTAGAGAAAAGAAGAATAACATACTGTACTCACTGCTTAACTGTGTTTCTAGATCACGCTCATTTCAGGTAAATTTACATGCAGTGTGAAGATACCAGCATAATAAAGATCGCTAGCATTAGCATGCTAACACAACAATGCACCGCAAGTTGTTTTGGTTTCATGCTGGTGCTCAAGGGCGTCATCTGCTGGATCAAAAAATCACATAAAGCCTTAAAAAAAAAGCAATATGGTTGAAATATGTGCATTGGCTGTTTAAAGCAACACCATGGAGGAATTCAGCTTGTTGTGTTATGGCGCCCACCAAAGGTGTCTGAGTGCAACTGCACTGTTGTAAAAAACAAACATGGTGCTGTTCACGCCTCCCCCTCATAGACAACTTGGATTTGTTGGCATCAGAGGGCGGTTAAGAGGGGCTTCATCTATCAAGAAATGCTTCTTTTAAAATCTAATAAAGGTTTGATTACGGAGTATCGATAGCATCCCATTCATTTAGCTTGTTTTAAAGTGATTCTGTACTGGGAGCTTTTTGTGCCTAGTGATGCTGGTACACAAGCACAACTATATGTGGCTAAACAAGCACCAGACAAGATCAGCGTATAGTTTGCAAAAAAGAAACATTTAAATTACGACTAAGCTTTTCTTTTTTTACTACATCGAGTCTATTGTGTCTGCCTTCTTCAATGGTCTCTTTTGTAACTTAGCTCTGTTTTCTTCCACCTCTGATGATGAATGATTGATGAGTCAGCTAATTAGCGACTGCTTATTAGTCAAACATGCTAAAAGAAAAAGAAAAAAACGGACTGAGCAGCTGACCTTGGGAAGGATGTCGTTCTCGTTCTTCAGGACAAAGCGCCCTTCTCTGTCGTCTTTGTTCCAGTTCAGCTGAACAACAAGAGGCTTCTCGTCCAGGTCCAGCTGACGCTCTTCTAACACACACACAGAAACAGCAGTTCATCTGACAGGTCGATTGGTCAAAGTATTTGTTTTTAGTAACCTCAAAAGAATGTGTTTTTCTTTTCAATCCTGGGACTCACCGCCACTGACGTGGACTTCATACAGGGAGTACTTTGGCGAGGAGAGCATCCTCATGTCCGGTCTGAACTTCTCTGCTAACGTCTCGATGACGTCCTGCGTTGTCGCTGTGCTGGACACTCTGATGCACTTGGTGGCAAAGTTACCGGCGACCCGATCCTGGAAGTAGAACCGCATCACGCCATGGAACTCCAAGTCCTGTTTGAGAGACAGAGGAAGAAAGACGGTTCATAGTCTGTTTATTATTAAATCATTTCATGAGTCTAATATGAATGTGTTTTTAATTATTCACATCAGATCACAACCTGTAACTGTCAATATGAATGGCTTTAAAGAGGTCGGTTTGTTTATTTCAAACCTACTCATTCACTTGCTAATAATTTGTTTTTCATGTTAATTAAATCAGGTACAGGAGGGAAGACGAGCCCAATCCATTTCATCCATTAGCCTCTTTTCTAATCATTGTTTAGGATATTAACTCTCAATCATAAACAGTGGTTTTGTCTCAAATTTTCACACTTTGTTATTTACTCTTTGCACTTCCCAGCCACCGTACTTATGGCACTGGTATTAGTAAATACTCATCAATTCCCATGACCCCTACATTAAAACTGAAAGCAGAACCGGGCAGTAAGGTGGACTGTTCAGCAGCCTCGACCGTCAAAACAAAGAGGAAACACACCAGGCTCAAAGCGAGTCAGCAGAGTGTGTGAGCCGGTCGTGTCACAACACAAAAGAAGGTGTTTCTGTCATTCACTGACTTTTCTGTAGAAACATAGTACACACAAACGTATGTGCACTTGAATTCATACGCTTCTGAAAAGTGGATTAGTTATTTTCAAGCTCTTTCAATGTACTATGTATTATTTTCAGTGAATTGTCTGATTAACTCGGGTCTGAAAGCGGCTTCTGTTTGGGGGAAATTGTAATTTTCTTCATAATTTGTACCAAATGACTTGGCTCTTTCCAGGAAACCTCCTCATATCCGGACTGATCAAAGGGTCAGAGTCAAACGTTTATTTTGTTTTCGCTTTGCTATCTCTATCTCATCTCCTCTAGTCTAAGGAAACATCTCTTAGATTTTACACACAGACCCACACACACACAAAGTGCTAATGCTGGATATGAAAGCAGCAGCAGGCTACTAGACACCCAGCAGCATCTAGTGTGTGTGTGTGTGTGTGTGTGTGTGTGTGTGTGTGTGTGTGTGTGCGCGCAGGTACAAATTTATTACCTACATATTGACATTTCTCCTCTGCACAGCGGACTATAGAACAAGAATCTCTTAAACACATACACACACCCTGATATTATCGTACGTAACAAAGCGCTGACACAGCATCACTCGGTGTGTGTGTGTGTGTGTGTGTGTGCGTGCGTGCGTGCGTGCGTGCGTGCGTGCGTGCGTGCGTGCGTGCGTGCGTGCGTGCGTGTGTGAGTGTGAGTGTGAAATTCATTACGATTCAGTGGGGGGAATGGCCTCATATTTCATTTTCAGTGCCATTAAAAGTGTCTTAGAAAGCCTTAGATCTTTGTGGGAGCTTGTAGACATTGGAGTTAGACGGTGTGTGTGCTGGCTGGGCCTCTAGCATCAAAGTTAACAGAGGACATAATCTCCCCGCCATAGCCTGGCGTGGGAGCTGTGGAGCATGTGCAGAACACGTAGGCCAGTTTGGGGCCGATTAAGTTGTAAACATGCAAGAGACTCCCGACTGCATTAACCAGGTATGTCAACCAGACTACGAGAAATTTAAATTGTTTACATTTTAGACGGATTAACGCGATAAATTGTATTTTTCTTTACATCATGTAAACATACTCAATGTCTCAAATATCCTGCAGCCAAAGTTTTAAGAGTCATTTAAAAACATTTCTATTTATGTTCTCAGGATCGAGGCATAGCAACGGGTATCCACTTGACGTTTAGGGAAGTCAATTTATGTAAAAATCTGATTCTTATCTTCTAAGATTTTAAATAGATTCATAACTTCCAACTTTTTGGCTAATCAGTCACTCCCTGCTAATGGCTAATGCTAGCTCTTTAACTCAGTAGAATGCCAAATGGACCAGCAGGAAATTCAGCCAGTCTCACAGATGACTGGAGGAGATCCTGAAGTATGAAGTTATTCAAAAAATAGACTTTGAATCCATGAATCCAGAATCGTAAATAGATTCTCAATCGAACTGTGACCACATCCCCCTCAGGTGTGTCATCAGTACTGACCCTGCTTCTCCTCCTACCAATCACGCCTCCCGCTAAAGACACTGAAGTGAATCCTCCTAACGCATGATCATAACAGACCACAAGAATCGAAATTGAATCAAATCTTAAGACACCCTAAGATTCCCAGCCCTATTATCCACCCCTATCTCCACAACAATCACTTCCAGCTCCAAAATAAAGGGTACATCAGCATTAAAAATTCCAAACTTAAGGCTTCAAAAGACCACAAACTGATGCGTGACATCATAGTGCCAATGCCTACTTCTTTCATTCAGTCTATAACCCGTCCCCTGGAGCCATTTTAACACTTAATGTAACTGTTTGTTCTGGAGGGGGTTTCCTAAAATGAACTGAAAATGCTGCTATCGATTGAACCGTTTTCATAATGGAAGAAGAGGATGTTGCAGCTTCTGATGTTAATATGGGAAAGACCCTGAATATGACTTTCCAGTGTCGGTCTCTCCCTCCTGTCAGGATGCCCAATAAGCTAATTTGAATATGTATGTAAAAGAGAGACCATGCCAGCGTTCCAGAGAAGCAGACAACTGGCTAAACGACTTTCTATAGTGACAGATCAAGTGGATGTGTGTGTGTGTGTGTGTGTGTGTGTGTGTGTGTGTGTGTGTGTGTGTGTGTGTGTGTGTGTGTCTGTGTGTGTGTCTGTGTGTGTCTGTGTGTGTCTGTGTGTGTCTGTGTGTGTGTGTGTGTTGTGTGTGTGTGTGTGTGTGTGTGTCTGTGTGTGTGTGGAACCAGCAGCTGAGTTTAAGAGGTGCGAGCAGGGTGATTCCAGGCAAAGGTTTTAAACCAGA